CCCGCGCCAGAGACCGCAACAGCACAGGGCCAAGCTGTAAATCAGAGCTGCGGAGTTTGATTTACAGCTTGGGAACAAGTCTGTCTGTCCAGCTGCGGCTCTCCTCCACTACGCCTCAATGCTACCGTGCTGGAAAAGCAACCTCTTAATTAAAAATAACAATATTCACCATCACTCCTATGAAGTTCCCCTTAATTACATCAGTGTGCCCAGTAGACAATCTCCTCAGCAGCCCAAGAAACAGATCTCAAACATCAGAAAATGGCCTGGAAAAAAAGAAAAAAACCAACAAAAAAACCCCAAACCCACAACAAAAAAACACCAAAAGAAAACAAACCCTCAGCATTTTTTTGCCCTGACTCTGTGGTTACACGCTGCCTTCGGATGCTGCACTCGTACACTGCATTTATACGATCAGCATCCTCCCCTGGAGCTGACGCCAAGACCACGGTGTCAGACTGCAAGTTAAATACCCGTGCGTCTAGGAGACATCTCACGAGCATCTCTGCAGCCAGATATCCCAACCCACCCCTTGGAGCAGCTGTAGGAATATTCTACGCTCTGCCGGGGATAAAAATACCACGAGAATGGGTCGTGGCGGGCTAGTCAACCTTACTTTTCACATCCTACACTTATCCTCAAATCAAAAGCAGAGCCAGCAAATCAGTTTGGATAAACAGAGGCCCCATCTCAGGATTTTCAGCATGATTTCCAAACCAGAAGAGGTTCAGAAAAAAATGCCAGGGGAATCTGAGCATCCCAGGCTCTCCCTTGGCCAGCCATGTGGAGCCTCAGAGGCTTTGGTTTCCACCCAAAGGTGCCCCAGTTTCTGCTCACAGTTTAACCAGGATAAAAACCAGACTGTGGCCCCACTGCCCTTCCCCAGAAGGGACCTGGCAGCACCGAGCACCCGGCCGGGCACGATGGGGGGGCCATCGTTTTGGGGGCATTTGCTGCATGGTTTTTGGGGCGTTGTTTGTTCCATAAAGTTTCATCTCTGAGGCATGTCCATGTGTCGTTGTGTTGGTCCCTTCCTTGGTTTCTCCTGTCGGGACATGGTGTGGTCTCACGGTTTGCAGAGGTCCAGCTCCCCTCTGGGGTCCTGGGCAGTCTGTGGTTCAGCCCAGAGGGCAATCCCGCACACGAGCAAGGGAGATGGGGAAACCCACGGGCAGCGTGGCCAGGGTTGTCCCCCAAAAACCCACAGGGGACATAGTGGGGGTGCAGGGCTGGCACCCGGGTACCAAACCTGCATCTGACACCTTTACTCTGGATTTTAATCAGGTGCCACTTCCTTACTGACTGTTTGCACCTCAGTAAATAGGAGCAGAACTTCTCTGCTTGAGCTCCTGCAAAGGTGACCCAGGGCAGGGACGCTTGTACAACCGGAGCATCACGTCTCCCCGCGTCCACTCGCATGAAAAACACAGCCTGCCCCGGAGCACGTACCCCACGATTGCTCCGCAAAGCTGTGGGGCATCAAGAATATATTCAGCTCAGGCATTTTCTGCCCAGAGAGGTTCTGCAAAATTGACTATTTCCTGCAAAATTCAAGAACTGGCTATTTTTTACAGGGGCAGAGGAGATCTCTGGGCAGCAGCTCAGTATCCAGCCGTGCCCAGCAGCCCTGCTCCAGGGATGCTGCCCATGGGATTGCCCCAGCCCCTGCTCTTCCCCGTGGAGAGACCCCCGGGGTGCAGCACCCATGGGATGTCCTGGCCCCAGCACTGCCTGGGGGGAGCCCCATTTACCTAGGAGGTGTTTCCACCCAGATTATTACCCCCCTTCCAGAGCAAGCGGCCGGTAAGGCAGAGTTGGTTTGGACATCTCCACGGTGTCTCCCATTTTCAGGGATCAGACGGGCTGATCTCACCCCCGCAGAGCTCACAGGAAGGACATCACTCACCCAAACGCCAATCACAACATTTATTTTTATTATTATTTCCACAAACCATAATTTTATCTTTAGGAATATTTCACGTAGACACGGAGAAGAGCCCAGGGATGTACTTGCTCCCCTACACCGACTGCGTACCGGCCGCCTGGGTCTCATTTTTTAATTACAGACACTTTGTGCACCATTTCTCGATGCCTTACAGCACACGAAACCCAGGCTAAGCACCCTGCCCACAGAGGAGCAGGGTCTCCTCTGGGCAGTGAACTCCCTTGCCCTTGGAGGAATTAAAAATGCTCCAGAATTGCCAGGTTCAGTCTGTGCAATTCAAGGACTTCAGTTTAACTCAAAGAATACCAATTTTTCACCAATATCCATTTAGTAACTCGAAAGATCAAAGCCTGCTTCCTCCTCATCCTAAGGCGGTTACTGGTTTATGCGTTGTTTTTACGGCTGCAAGAGACCCAGTCAGGTTATTTCAAGCGTTGCACGATGCAATAACCTGGGAGTTGCTCAAGCCTACCCACCTAATGATCCTGACTTTCTCTAAGCTTCCTGGCAGTAGAAGACAACCAGCAATTTATGCAAAAGTGTTAGGGTTTTTTTTTCCCCCCTCACCGAGCTCGCGATGCAGGCTTGAAACATTTCTAGGCTCTCCAGAGAGAGTTTCAGAGCTATTTCCAAAGGAGCTCAGGGATTCAGACACCCTGCAAGGCCAGCTTGGCCAATTCCTTTGCGATGCTTTAAACAAAACAAACCAAAAATCTCACCCTGCTGTAGGGATCAAACGGGCAGGACAAGCACCAAAATCCTCCGCGCCAGGAGAGGGGCTGCAGGGACCTCCCCGGACCCCACGTGGAGCTCAGGTACGAGGCTGGGGGTTGCTTTTCTCCCCTTTCCTTTTCTGCCGTGGTTCGTCACCCTCCGTGAGCGCCGCCACCCTTGCCTTGGGTATCTTGTATTTGCTTTTCTGGCTGTAAAAGAGGTTTTTCTGGAAGAGTCGTGGGATGTTGCCTTGGTACAGCAAGAGGGCAGCGAGCATTCCTGAAACAAGAGCCCGGATCCCTTCTGTGTGCTGCATCGAGCTTCTCCACCCTCCCCACGGCTGAGCAGCGATTTTCAGGTCCTTACCACAACCTTCACCATGACCAAAAAGTAGCTCAGCACCACTGAGGTCCCCACTGACAGTATCTGAAAGACCATTGCTATATTACCATAGGGAAAATTTAACCATCGCATCCTTAATACCATAGGGAGGCTTGTTTTGACCCAAATGGGCCATAAACCATGTAGAAATTGGATTTTAAAAAAATGGATAGCAAAGGGATGACTCAAGTGACAGGGAAGGGGGACAGAAAAGGACACTTGTTACCGGTAAGATCCAAGTTCAGCCCTTTGCCAGGAACGGTTTATGTTACGCCCAGCATTTCTGCCTTGCCCATTGCCCCCCCTATGCCAGCCCCAGCCCCCTGGTACCTCCCGGGCAGATCTCACCTGCAAGGGGTCCCAGCCAGTAAACCTGGATGTAGTCCCAAAAGCTGCTCCCCGAGCAGTGGAAGGTGGTGGCTGTGGCCAGGGCAGGGTTGAAGAAGGCCCCCGTGAATGGTCCAGCTGCGTGGGAAGAGAAGTACAGCCATCAGTCTCGTTTGCATCCTTTGAAAGATGGACAAAGAGCTGGGCCAGGAGACCCGTGACCCCTCCTGACTGCCAGGAGCATCTCTGCCGCTACCCAGCTCCAACAGCCGCATCTCTTGGAAATCCCATCCTTGTCACCCTCAGCTTTGCAGGAAGCAGGAGAGGTCGGTGCGGGACCGAGTGGTTGCATTTGAGGACGTTCAAAGAAAGCGGTCCCAGGCTTGGGGCAAGCTATGGCTTCATGTGCCGACATTTCACCTGCTGCCTAGATATCCTAAACTGCCATCTTCATCCCAAAATGAATATTCCCCAACATAAGGAGAAAACAAACGTCTTAGTAATCATTACCTCTTAAGTCCTGGAAGATGAAAAAGGGACTGTTCCTCCCCCACAAATTAGGTGTTTTTCTAAATGACTTAGAAAAAGAAAGGCAAGTGCTGCTCACCTGCGTAGGTCAGGAAGGCGACAGTCGCTGCCAGTGCAGGGACCCGGTACATTGGGTGACTCTGTTGCAGCTTGAGAAGGACAAGGTGGAAAAGGAAAGAGCAGGTGCCTTCCACAAAGGCAGCGTGGTGCAGAGATGTGCGGATGGAGGAGCTGCACTCTGACGCTATCAGGTTCTGGATGAGGTGGAAATGCGTCAGCTCCCAGGACCAGTAGAGCTTGGTGACAGCCCAGCCCGTCCCCGTGCCCGCGCCCTGGGCCAGCAGCTTGGCAGCGGTTGCGGCGAGGTCGGACTCGAGGAGCAGGAACTCCTGGAGAGAGACGGTCGGGTTGGCGGATGCTCCATCGAAAGAGACGCCATGAACCGCAAAGAGGAGGAAGAGCAGAGTCAGGACCACGTCTAAGCCAAAGCCACCACCCCACGGGCCGATCTCCACCAGCATCCTCAGCTCAAGGCAGCTCGTGCACAACTGTAAAGAGCCAGCAAGTTCTCTGGCAAGGCAGCCGTACGCTCCAGGAGACAGAAACCTCTTGGAAAGCCACCTGAGCGCCTGGCATACCCCAACAACCAGGAAAAAAAAAGCGATGGAGACGTTCAGGCCAGCCATAGCAAAGGCTGTGCTGTGGGGAGAGACCAGACCAAACCCCGGGAAGGAGCAGAGAAAGCTTCTGCACCTCCTCTTTATAAAGCTGCCTGTAAGCAAACGTGGCACAGCCCGACAGGCTTGGGAAACGCCGCACGTGCGGAGCAATGCCTGCTGCCACGGGCAGCCGATGGACTCACCTGCAGCTGGATCAGCCAACAAATTGTTTGTCCCAGCAAGCAGGTCCCGGTGTTATCTCCACCACATGGTCGCTGAGCCTCCAACCCCCAGCATTCAGTATCTGAGAACCTGCAGCAGCTCCTCAGAGCTGCCCAGGTCTTCCAGGAGGAGCAAAAACCTTCCTTTTGTTTCTGCTTGGCATCATAAAACACAGCCTACTGCCCCAATCTCAAAGCCTGGGACGCGAGGGGACTCTTCGGAAGCCAGCAACCCACGCAAGGGGTTCACATTTCTCCAGGGCAGAGCCATCCTAAGCCACAGCAAAGTCCACCTTTAGCCAGTTTGAAAGCCCAGCTTGCTTACTGCTGCCTGTCCTTGTCTTGATTAAGACCTCACCTCGTCTGTTGGTGGTGGCACTAATTGCACGTGCCATGGGCCCGCAGGTGGCATTCTAGCAAGTGACATTTCAACTCCTCCTGCTGGTGACACAAGTATCAGGGACAGGATCTTTCCCAGCTCCACCAAAACCATCCCGTGGCGTTGTCATTACCTGACTTCTGAACATCTGAACATCTAAACACATTTAGGTTAGACCTTTGAATTCATGATGGAGTCGACAGCCATCGTAGGTGACAAAACATGCCATGTTTGCTCCAGTGGTTGCATCCTCTGTACCAGCTGCCACCAGGTCACTGGGGACCCCTGGACTCCCACCGCTGGGGTCTGCGGGAAGAAAGGGGCCGGTGAGCGATGGAAAGCGCAGGAGCGGCACAGGAAGGGTGGGGTGGGGCAGATAACGTCACGTTATCAAGGACTCATGGTTAACAGAGCATAAACAATTTATTACGTGTCTGCTGGGTCACTTCCCTACTCTGCAGCAGAAATTACACCACCCTGAGCCCATGTTTCCCACCCCTACAGTCAGAATAGCATCTCCTTCATCGCCAGCATGCTGCAGGGATAAACGTGCCCAGGGCACGCTTTGCTATCACAGCAACAAGCAGTGGGACGCACTGTGAATCAGCTGCTGGGCATCGGGACCACCGTGCTGGGTACACCATGGCCAGGGCAAAGCCCAGTCCTGCGCCCTTGCGGAGGGTCCTCACACCACCCCATCACATGCAAGGAGCCAACAGCTTTTACTAATCCCATTTAATTTTCCCCTCTCATCATTTATAAAAGAAATCACCAAGAGATGCAGGTTTGAAGCATCCTCGAGCTGGGGTTGAAGCACTTACTACAGTTCCAAGTTGGCTGCGGCAATGCAGACCAACCCGTGAAAGCCAGGAGCGTACGCTTCGAAGGTGTCAGAGCTGCTCGGCCTCTCTCCCTTATAGCCCTTGGTGCAGCTGGAAAGAAACACGATGTTTTGGCAGGGCATTTTGGAGATGTTTGTGAAGGTCATGGCCAGCCTCAGCATCTTCTCCTGCACCACTCTCCCTCCTTTCACCTTCATTCCCGCAGTCGTTTCTATCACCAAGTGCCCACCTGAGGGTGGTTTGGGGAAAGTACGTCGTTCCGCAGCGATCGCCACGCACAGCATTTGTTTTGGAAATCTTGGAAAGCCCAAGCAAAGAGAGGGACCATGCTGCGAGCACCCCATCATCCAAGCCCTCCCTTCCTCCCCACCAGAACTGCCCTGGTTTTGGTTGGCCTGCCCCGAAACATACCCTAATTTTACCATTTTTAACCAATTTCTCACTCCAGAAAACAGGATAAGCATGCGTTTTTCACCTCAAATGAGCAAAAGACCATGCCTGAACAAAGGAAGAGATAAAACATGCTTTAAGAGACACATAAAATTAGTATTTTTGGCCTCATGAAAATTCACCTCTGGTAGCATCAAAGCGCTGGTCAGACGAAGCTACTCATCACTGCGGAACAGACCACAAAAAAATTTAACATCACAATCCGATTAGTTTCTTTCCATCTCCCTCTACTCTCAAAAGCAGAGAAACCAATAGAGTTTCATCTTTAGAAACAAAACCTTACAAGGATCCAGCGACACCAACCCAACCCAAGTCCCTGGAGGAGAACTGACGGGACGCAGGAGACAGACGGGCAAGTTTGCACAGAGGAACATCGCAGATCTTCCCACACCACCTCTCAATCCCTCCCATCATTGTTTGAACCTTGGTTTCAGCTGAGGGTTTTGATAGAGCAGCCAAGAGTTTTCTGACAGCTTCCCCCTGGAGAACATCTCAGCCGTTGAGCAGAGCCCACCCGGATCAATAACGCATGTTCCTTCCGCTGATATTGCTAGCTACGCCTACAAGAGAAAGCCGTCATGCACTAAGCAGCATTCTCATCCCCTTCCTCCAACACAGCTGTGACATGGAAAACATTGTGACACCTATGGTAAAACTGGAAAAAAAAAAAGAATCCCAACATCTCTTCCTTCCCACAGGAACTGGTTTTTCCTTTCTCCTTTTCAAGTGTTTGTTAGGAATTGGGCCTTATTAAGTAAATGTTCAGAGGTCTTGCAAAAAAACCAATTTCCCCTCCATTGCCTGTAATTATGCCCCCGGCACATCCTGCAATTGTGGGACACCTAACCCAGGCTGGAGAGAGGAGCTGGAAGCTATTGCTTTTGAGGATAATTACGGGATGAAATAACGCCAGGGACAGATAGGCAAGGGGCTCGTTTCCCACCTTGCTTTAGAGGGGACATGCTGCAAGCTCTGGCCCCGAGGACGTCTTCAGGCCACTGCAAAGGCAAAACCCCTTCAAGAGTCCACGCAGCTTTGCACGGCGGCTCTTCTAGAAACAATACTGTCGAAAAAATTCAGATACTCCCACTGAAAACTGCTTTTCTGTGGCTGGAACATAAGTGTCATTTCAAAACCAAGTTTGCTTTTAGGGCTGTTAAAAACTACCCCACTTAAAACGTGGATATTTTAAATGGGTGGGTTTTAGCCATGGGATAGGAACAAGCTGGCATTTCCACAGTTACGTAAAACAAACTCTGCAAAACCACTGAAAGGTTACAAAAGCTGAACAGAACCCACCCTGGCTCTCCCCTCTCTCCACCGCACTATTTTCACCCACCAAGAGGTAAAAGCTACAGCTGAATCCAGTTGTAAGGTTATTTAAGGAGAGTTTTACTGGGGGTGGGGTGGATAAGAGCTTTCCAAGAGCAGCCACCTGTTATCAGCTGCTAGGGCAAGGCAGCAGGAACCCAGCCGCCGGGTTCCTCCCC